AAAGAAAGAAAGAAAGAAAGAAAGAAAGAAAGAAAGAAAGAAAGAAAAGGGAGACCCTATCTCTACTAAAAACAGAAAAACCAGCCAAGTGTCGTGGTGAGCATCTGTAGTCCCAGCTACTCTGGAGGCTGAGAAAAAAGGATCACTTGAGCCTAGCAATTTGGGATTGCTGTGACCTATGACGGCAAGGCACTCTAACCTGGAGCAAGAGAGTGAGACTTTGTCTCGAAAAAACAAAAATAGAAATAGCACAGGACCAGGGTCAGTGGCTCACACCTATAATCCTAGCACTCTGGGACGCTGACATGGATAGATTGCTTGAGGTCAGGAGTTCCAGACCGGCCTGAGCAAAATAAGACCCCTTCTCTAAAAATAGCCAGGCATTGTGCTGAGTGCCTGTAGTCTCAGCTATTCAGGAGGCTGAGGCAAGAGGATCACTGGAGTCCAAGAGTTTGAGGTTGCTGTTAGCTATGATGCCACAGAACTCTACCACAGGTGACAAAGTAAGACTCTATCTCACCAAAAAAAAAAAAAAAAAGGAAAGAGCATAAAGACTCCCAATTTTCTTCTAAACTATGTAATGGTTATAAGGTGGGATGCACCATATAAACCAGGACCACTAACAGGATAAAAGGGACCTATTCTCCAATGGTCAGTGGTCGACACTACTGAAGATCTCAGATAACTTTAAGTTGGCATAAACTTGATTCATATACAAGTTACCCTTACCTCCCTCAACCTCAGGGACAAAGATGGGGAGCAGGCAGAAAGTTGGACCAGAAAATGCCCAAACTCAGCTCGGCGCCTGTGGCTCAAGCGGCTAAGACGCCAGCCACATACACCTAAGGCGGCGAGTTCGAATCCTCAGCCCGGGCCCGCCAAACAACAATGATGGTTGCAACAAAAAAATGGCCGGGCGTTGTGGCGGGCGCCTGTAGTCCCACCTACTTGGGAGCCTGAGGCAGGAGACTCGCTTGAGCCCAGGAGTTAGAGGTTGCTGTGAGTGTGATGCCATGGCACTCTATCCAGGGGGATAGCTTGAGGCTCCGTCTCAAAAAAAAAAAAAAAAAAGAAAATGCCCAAACTCCTTTCTAGCTCAGGAAAATCAATGGTTCACAGTAGCACCCTTCAAACACATTTCTTTTCAAATTTACTAAGTATCTAACACATGTAAAGGAAAAATGAGCTACTGCATACTTATGTTAAGATCCTTTATGATTTTAAGAAAGGTCACAGACTTTCCAGAGCAGCATTTAGCTTTCACTGCCTTACCTAAAATGTACCACATTCAAATACACCCACTCCTTCACACAATGCAAAACGTCATAGCTAACAAGTACTTTGCTGTCTCCTATTGAAACAGCAGTTACTTCAGAAAGTTGAATGAATTCCAAAGTGTGATATTTCTGAAAAAGATCAACAACGCAATACTGAGAGTATCAACTGACAACATTAGCCTCAAAGACTCAAAAAACTTAAGTAGAGGCTTGGCGCCTATAGCTCAACCGGC